GTGTACGTGTGGCTAGTTGTATCCTCGTGAATCTGATGTAATATCGTAACTATCCGAAATAAAGCTCATGCCAATGGGCTAAGTGGTCACCTTTAATATTAAAAAAAAAAAAATAAAAAAATAATCCATCTCCAAATTTATATATAAACATTTTGATTTGTAATTGAAAAGATTGTAGTTACCAAAAAAGACTAATTTTTTAGATTTGCAGATAAACTTGTTGAATGAATATTTACCAAGAATCAAGTCTAAAACACAGTACTCTACAGATATTAAATCAAGTGACTCAGGCATAGAAGAATATACCAAAAATTTGTCTAAATATAATGTATGATCTAATATCTGTTATGCTAATCTGCTGTAGTATATTCGTACATATGATCATTCTTTTTCATATTAATATTAGCTGTTCAATATCCAACATACTGCAGATAATTGTGGTGCTGATAGCTGAAGCCTTGATTATACACTCAACAAATATAAAATGCCTTCTTTGATAGGTTGTCTGGATTAGATAATTTTGTTTGTTGAATTTAGAATTTTGAAACTCTGATTTTGAGCTTCTAATGTTTTTTGATTGGAATAATTTTTTGTTATAGGATTGCCATTAACTACATCCTTAAATAATATAAAAGTCTTGTGTATCAATACATGTTTTCAAAGTCAAAAATAAAAGCAAATTAAATTAGATTTGAGATCTTCAATTCAATATTTAATTTAATAATTAAATTATTCATCTAATGAAAATTTTGGTTTATTGGTTTTTTCCACTTTAGTTATATTGTTTTAAATAAAGATTTTGTAAATTATAAATAATATCTTTTTACAATAAGTATAATATCTGAATTGAAAATGATTTAATTAATAATTTTTTTAAAATGCTATAAAAATTCAAATATCTACCTGTCATTTAACACAATGTACTTTTTAACAAACACAACTCAAAGTAATCAGACAATAATTAAAGTTACTATATATGATTTAAAGAAATGTGATGGATTATTAGAAATCACAAACTTCAATATTTATATAATGAATAACACTATAGCTTTTCTACTCAAAATAAAGAAATTAATAAGTTTGAATAAACTTATAGATAATTTAATAGCATTTTGATATTCCAATATTCTTAATTAAATATTAATAATTAATTAATAATAGTCTCTAGTGCAACTATTATTTTTAGTTAATGAAAATGATGAACTTTATAAACCATGTTTTGTCAATAGACCAACTGGTTCATACTTTTATACCAACTCAATATGCAATATTTCTCTTGGGATATCGACTAACAATTTTATAAATTCATATACAATTTTCAATACTCAGTACAATATTATATTTAATAACACTTATCCCAACAAAGATTTGAGTGAGTTTACAAACAATTTGAGAACTATTAAATTTGCCAAATTTTTAATTTCAGAGCCAAGTGAAAATAATATTTTTAAGATGTATTAGTATCAATATTGGTACTCTTGAACTGAATTATTTAAACAGGCTCTCAAATTTATATCTCTTAATATGTAGACCAACACAGGCAAATTTGCCTGCGTTTTTGCACTTTTTTAGCTCTGATTTACTTTTT